GATCAAAAACAAACGGCACAACTTATTGTTAATGGAGGTTTGTCGGAGGTTTTTACAATAGAGAAAGGTACTAGACAGGGGTGTCCTTTATCGCCATTGTTGTTTGTTTTAACATTGGAAAGATTATTGATCAAAATTCGAGAGTCTCAGGAAATTAAAGGAATATATGTTAATAAAAAAGAATATAAGTTGAGAGCTTTTGCGGATGACTTGGTTGTTACTTTGTCGCAACCTGATTATTCTGTAGTAAACTTATTACAGTTGATTCATCATTATGGTTTGGTCTCGGGTTTTAAGATTAACGTAAATAAGACTAAAATTTTACCTAAAAATATGTCGAGTCAGGAGAAGCAGATTTTGGTCAACTTGACGGGTTTTGAGATTGTTAATAAGGTAAAATATTGGGGGTGATGCTGTCTGTTTCTAATGCAAAATTATTTAAAAATAATTATGAAAGGTTGTGGGTCAGGGTACAGAAGGACTTGAAGAATTGGGAAAAGTTGCAATTATCCCTCATGGGAAGAATTGCAGTGATAAAAATGAATATTCTACCCAAGTTTCTTTTTTTGTTTCAAATGTTACCAATTTTGAAAAATGAGATTAATTTAAATGAGTGGCAGAAGGGTCTCAACAAATTTAATTGGGCAGGGAAAAAACCAAGGGTTAAGTTTAAAATTATGCAAGACTTCCGTGAGAGGGGTGGACTTAAGGTACCAAATTTGAAATTATATTATGATGCGGTGGTCTTAACATTAATTAGTGATTGGGTAAATTTGACAAATTCTGAGATACTTTACTGAGAGGGATGGGATTTACTTTATGGGTGGCATGCCTATTTAATATTTAATAAAAAAATAGATTGGGCTTTTAAATCTCATATTTTAAGAATTTCTGTACTTAGGATTTGGAGAAAATATTATAAAAGTGATTTTAAAGTACCATTATGGGCTATACCTTGGCATGCGATAGAAGGAATAAAAAGAGGGGTTAAAATGGATATGGTGTCTTATAGACATTTACTTAAATGGGATGGACAAAACTGGCAATTAAAATCACGGGAAGAATTAGCACAAGAAAATTTTACTTATTCTTGGTTCCAATATAGGCAACTATTAGATAGATGGAAGATGGATTGCAAGGTGGGTTTTCTTAGAGAAGATGAAAATCTTATTAAGCAACTGAAGGATCAAAGACAAACCCACATTAAGAGAATTTATGGGGTTTTAGTTGAATTGGACTCAGAAACGGAACTACTTAAAGATTGTATGATTAGATGGGCGCAGAATTTTGGTGAGCCAGTTTCATTGGACACCTGGGAAATTATTTGGGTGAGAAATGTCAAATTTACTCAAGCACAGAACTTAAGGGAGAATTTTTATAAAATGTTTTATAGATGGCACCTTGATCCACAAAAAATGTCTTATATGTATCCTGACGTGCAACCCAAATGTGGGAGATGTGGTTATAAGGAGGCTTCTTATTATCATATTTGGTGGTCATGCAGAGAGATAAAAGCATTTTGGATTAAAATATGGTGGAATATCCAGAGAATTTTTAGAAGGAGGGTAAAATTTACTCCGCAATTATTTTTGTTAGGTATTGTTACAGATTGTGATACAAAGGAGGTTGTATTGATGTTAAATTTGATCACAGCTGCTAGGCTGTTAGTAGGACAATACTGGAAGAAGGAATCTTTGCCTACATTGCAGGAATGGTTTCTTAAAGTAGCTTATCTGGCAGAAATGGCAAAGATTTCGGCTTTCTTAAAGCAACAAACGCAAGAGAAGTTTTTTGCTGTTTGGGATAAATGGATAAAATTTATACAATTTAGATTGGGTATACAAAAATATTATATAGTTTTTTTATAAGTTTTATTTTCATATATATTATAGATAATTTTTTATATATATAAATATAAAGTTTTTAATTTAATTTTTATTTTTATTTTTTAAGCCTATATTCTGCTCTGGGAAGCTCAGGGGGGGGGAAGGGAGGTTTTTTTTTTTTTTTTTGGGAGGGCTGGGGGATGGGGTTTTTTTTTTTTTTATTTAATATATGTATTGTTTAGTTTTATTTTTCTGTATATGTTGCCTCTTGTTTTGTATTATTTTTCCTTTTTTGTAAAATTTATAAAACTTTCAATAAAAAAAAAAAAAAAAAAACTGCCGGCCCGCGGGCCAGATGCGTCACAACGAAACCGCACCCACCCCATTGCCGGCAATGAGGAAAAAGTTGCGTGATGTTGCGAGTTTGACATGCCTGACATAGAGCCTTCCCATCTGGCTTCCAGAAATCAAATTCAGTAGAGGAAATCAGGGTGCGGTATGGGTCTTAATTTGGTAGTCATGCTTTCATTTCCCACCATTGATGGCGTTACCTTCCGAGAACGTGTAATCATTCCTATGATAGGGGATTTACGGTAGCTCTCCCCTTGTGTGTCCTTAGGGGGTGTGGCTAATCTGTCATTCAGGGCTTCCGTTTCTCTCCAAGGAGGTGAGTACGTCTCCGATCGACTAGAATGCAAGCTGGTAATCACAAAGGTCCCTGAGGGGGACGCAATCAATGGTGGGAAATGAAAGCATGACTACCAAATTAAGACCCATACCGCACCCTGTTTGGGAGAGGAGCGAGAGGCACCAACTTGATAAAGCATGCAAACAACCATTTTGGTGACTCGGACTACCTTAGCAACCGGACAACGGAATTCGCAGTTTAACCCCCGCAATGAGCTGGCAACTGTCATGGGGAAGAAGGGGAGAACAGTTGTTACGGAGCTTAGCGGGATTGGGAACATCGGGAAGAAGGTGTTTGAGAGAGAACCATGCAGTGAGAGTACGTGCAGGATACCTGGAGTGGGGCCCCGGAATAATGAATACCACGATGTTAAGGATGGATGCCAGAATGGGGGTGGGAGAGAGGACCCTGGACACATGGAGAATCCCAAGGAAGAGGGAAGGGGAAAATGACTTGGTGGTAGTGGTGATATTTGGAATTGGAATAAGATCGACGATTCCCCTAGACCACGGATATGTATGAATGGAGGGGTCGGAGGCATATGCACATCAATTAGTTGTGCAGCAATCAAAACAAATGCTATGATTGGTCGACCTGGACCCGTTACGCGGTCCAGAAGTTGAGCGCAGGCACTAACTCACTTATAAATGTTTACTCCCATTGATTTATGTATGCCCTGATGATGTTGGCAGGAGCCAACGAAAGCTAGGCTTTTCCTTTTTACTATTAAAACTTTTAATGTTTTATATTTAAAACTTTTAGTGTTTTATATTTAAAACTTTTAATGTTTTAACTCTTCCTGGTGATCAAGTTTTATTCTTAACATGTATACACCCAGGAATCATGCTTCTATTTTTAGTATTGTTTTTAATATATATATAGGCCAAGTTTGAATATATATATTTTCAAACTTGACCCTTTTATGACTTGTGGACTTCAACTCCAAAATTCCTCAGCCAGCGTACCTGGCTGAGGAATTCTGGGAGTTGAAGTCCACAAGTCATAAAAAGGCCAGGTTTGAAGACCCCTGGCATATACTGTTGCAAGCTATGTTTGTTTCTACTACTGATTGCAGCTTTATAGTATTTCTAACAATTGTTTCCATGGAGATAGCCATTTCAGATGCTCTCCTAAATGCTAAATCTGTCTCTGTTGTCTTTTTTTTTTTTTTTTGAAAGTTTTCTTTCAGAATTCTACAAAACAGTTTTGTCAGTTGTTTTGCCCTTTGCCAAATTTGCAATGTTCAGGTAGCGTGTTTCCATCTCACCGTGATTTGTGCCTCTTTTTCTCTATGTTAAGTAGGGTAGAGTCTGTTTCATGCTTCAAAAGATTTCTTTAGTTTTTTTTTCTTCATGTGGACCAAGTTGTTTATAAGTTAAACTGTACAGAATACAGAATAATAGAGTTGAAAGAGAGCTTGGAGGTCTTCTAGTAGTCCAACCCCCTGCTCAAGCAGGAGACCCTATACCATTTCAAACAAGTGACTGGCCAATCTTTTCTTAAAAGCCTCCAGTGATGGAGCATCCACAACTTCTGAAGGCAAGCTGTTCCACTGGTTAATTGTTTTCACTGTTAGGAATTTTCTCCTTAGTTCTGGGTTGCTCCTCTCCTTGATTAGTTTCCACCCATTATTTCTTGTCTTGCCTTCTGGTGCTTTGGAAAATAGGTTGACCCCTTCTTCTTCGTGGCTGCTCCAATATTTGAGGGGCTGCCGTAATGGATGGAAACTAATCAAAGAGAGAAGCAGCCTAGAACTAAGGAGAAGCTCCCTAACAGAACATGCAACCAATGGAACAGCTAGCCTTCAGAGGTTTTGGGTGCTCCATCACTGAAGGCTTTAATGAAGAGACTGGGCTGCTACTTGTCTGAAATGGTATAGGGCAGTGATGGCAAACCTTTTAGAGACCGAGTGCCCAAAAACTGGCCCCACGCCTGCTCCACCCCCCCTGCCTCACCCCTGCCCCGCCCCGTCCCCCACCCCGCCTGCCCACAGGGCCACTCACTGCCTCCAGGCCCACTGCAGATCGCCCAGGCAGCCCAACAGCGCCATGGCGGCCACGCCCTCTGCCTGCGCCCCGCAGCATCAACTGTGCGGGATGGGGAGTGAGGGCAGAGTCTTGTCTATGCTGCCTGGCTGCCTGGTTGCTGCTCCATGTGGGCCACACTCAGGGGTGACTCTCCTCCAGGGGGGCTGCTGGTGAGGAGGTCATGGGGGGAGGCGAGGCTGGGGCAACGGCACATGTGCCCACAGAGAGGGCTCCGAGTGCTGCCTCTGGCACGTGTGCCATGGGTTCGCCACCACTGGTATAGGGTCTCCTGCTTGAGCAGGGGGTTGGACTAGAAGACCTCCAAGATCAACTGACTCATCCATTATCTCTTGATTGCTTGTATCTGTGTTCCTTTCCTTTCCTTTTTCAGCTTTCGCTCAAATCTCTCACAGTGTAGTAGGTGTAGATATGTTAAAAGGTGTCTTTTTATACTTATAGGTCAAGAAAGATTTGGGAACATGACACGGGTCTACTACCGAGAAGCTGTGGGAGCTTTTATTGTCTTTGATGTTACGAGGCCAGCTACCTTTGAAGCCGTAACCAAGTGGAAGGAGGATTTGGACACTAAACTGACTCTCCCGAATGGCCAGATGGTGCCAACTGTCCTGTTAGCAAACAAATGTGATCAAGCCCAAGAGTTACTGGTGAATAATGGCTTCAAGATGGACCAGTTCTGCAAGGACAATGGTTTTGTAGGATGGTTCGAAACATCGGCTAAGGTAACTCCCATCTGTGTCAGGTAACAGTATTGACTCATTGAGTTAGGCTTGGTCATCATTCATTATAAAAAAAAATATAAAAAGATGTTGAGACTCTAGAAAGAGTGCAGAGAAGAGCAACAAAGATGTTTAGGGGACTAGAGACTAAAACATAGGAAGAAGGGTTGCAGAAAATGGATACGTCTGGTTTAATGAAAAGGACTTGGGGTGACATGACAGCTGTCTTCCAATATCTCAGGGGCTACCACAAAGACAGGGTCAATCTCTTCTCCAAAGCACTTGAAAGCAGGACAAGAAGCAATGGATGGAAACTAATCAAGGAGAGAAGCAACCTAGAACTAAGGAGAAATTTCCTGACAGTTAGAACAATTAATAAGTGGAACAACCTGCCTCCAGAAGTTGTGGAAGTTTTTAAGAAGAGATTGGACAACCATTTGTTTGAAATGGTTTAGGGTTTTCTGCCTGAGCAGGAGGGTGGACTACAAGACCTCCAAGATCCCTTCCAACTCTGTCATTCTGTTATTAGATTCTACTGTCCAAGGAACAGGAGCTCTCCAACCCAGGCTGTCAGCTTTCCAGCTGACAAGCTCAGTGTCTTTAACCACTGACTTCTTTGTGGTTGAAATACAGTTAGCTTGAAAAGGATACCTCCATTTATATTGTGTTCTTTTTAACATTGTTCCTAGTCTCTTAATGGAGGTGTGAATTTGTATCCCACTCCTAACAGGCTTCATTTTGAGGAGCGCAATGGTTCAGCAGTTAAACATTGAACCTAATAATAATAATAGTAGTAAAGTTGGAAGGGACCTTGGAGGTCATCTAGTCCAACCCCCTGCTCAGGCAGGAAACCCTACACCATTTCGGACAAATGGCTGTCCAGTCTCTTCTTAAAAAATTCCAGTGTTGGAGCATTTACTGCTTCTGGAGGCAAGCTGTTCCACTGATTAATTGTTCTCACTGTCAGGAAGTTTCTCCTTAGTTCTAGGTTGCTTCTCTCCTTGATTAGTTTCCACCCGTTGCTTCTTGTCCTGCCTTCAGGTGCTTTTGAAAATAGCTTGATTCCCTCTTCTTTATGGCAGCCCCTGAGATATTGGAATATTGCTATCATGTCCCCCCTTGTCCTTCTCTTCGTTAAACTAGACATACCCAATTCTAGCAATCGTTCCTTATATGTTTTAGCCTCCAGTCCCCTGATCATCTTTGTTGCTCTTCTCTGTACTCTTTCTAGAGTCTCAACATCTTTTTTACAGGGTGGTGACCAAAACTGGATGCAGTAGTCCAAGTGTGGCCTTACCAAGGCATTGTAGAGTGGTATTAATACTTCACGTGATCTTGATTCTATCCCTCTGTTAATGCAACTTAGCACTGTGTTGGCCTTTCTGGCAGCTGCAGCATACTGCTGGCTCATAGTTAGGTGATTGTCTACTAGGACTCCGAGGTCCCTCTCACAGTTACTACTATTGAGCATGGTGCCACCTATGCTGTACTTGTGCATTTGGTTTTTCTTGCCTAAATGTAGAACCTTGCTTTTTTCACCATTGAATTTCATTTTGCTAGTTAGTGCCCAGTGTTCAAGTCTGTCCAGATCCTTCTGTATCTTAAGCCTGTCTTCTGGAGTGTTGGCTGTTCCTGCCAGCTGGTGTCGTCTGCAAATTTGATGAGTTCCCCATCTATCCCTTCGTCCAAATCGTTGATGAAGATGTTGAAGAGCACTGGTGAGCAGCTGACAATGCTGAGCTTGTCAGTTGCAAAACTGACAGCCTGGGTTTGAGACCCAAACTCTGTGCAAGAGAGTGAGCTCCCGTTCCTTGCTCCAGCTCCTGCCCATGTAGCAGTTTGAAAGTATGCAAATGCAAGTAGATAAATAGGTACCACTTTGGTGGGAAGGTAACAGCATTCCGCACACCTTTGGCATGCGGCCATATTGGCCACACTTGCATGGAAATTATCTTCGGACAACACTGGTTCCCTTGGCCAAGAAACAGAGATGAGCAAGCACTGTGCCCTGGAGTCAAACACGACTAATGCGGAAACGTTTACCTTTACTTTTTAATCATTCTTCTCCCATCGCTTTGAAGAATTTGCATTATGGCACAACTGGTGTTTTAAAAAAAACATCTTTATCTCCATCCCAATCTATGTCGTTTATTCCATGAGCTTTTTGCAGAGTTCCCTTCTTTCACCTGATTATTTTAGAAATCTTATTAGCATATCTTTTGGGTTTGGCATTTGATTGAACTTAGAAGGGAAGACTCTATGGGTGAGTTTCACATCATTACCTTGAAGCTTTAAATCTAGTAGCTTGTAATTAAATGTTGATATAAGATACCCAATTTAATTAATCTTTACTGCATGTTTCCTAATGCTTCTAATTCTCAAATTATTTCTGTTTCTGAATATCAACCAAATTCAGTCTCACTTTGGTAATAGTGTTTGAACTTTTCCATATATATATAGCTTATTTTTCACAGCAACTTTGCGTGCTTTGCTCTCAGTCAGGGCCATCTTTGTAATTTGAGAAAATAAATCTATTGGTCATTTATTAACTGCTTCAAACATCCTTACCAGATCTTTCCAAAGCAAATTGCAGGTAGTCCTTGATTTATGACTGGTTGCTTAAGGAGTGTTTGAAATTACGATGAACTTGAAAAAACGTACGACCTGTCTTCAAAGTTGTGACTGCTGCACTATCCATGAAGTCATGTGAAATGGAGAGACCATTTGGGGGTTGGGGATCTCCTGCACTTAATTGGGGGGGGGGTTGAGTTTTGATCAGTTCAAAAGAGGCAGCATATTTCCTCCTGTAACTAGCTGTGCAGTACAGGTAGCCACGATTGAGCCCAAAATTTCTGTTGTTAAGTGAGGCATTTGTTAAGTGAGTTTTGCCCCATTTTACGACTTTTTTTGCCACAGTTGTAAAAATCACTGCAGTTGATAAATTAGTAATCTGGTTAAGTGAACCTGGCTTCCCCGTTGATTTTGGTCATCAGAAAGTCACAAAAGGGGATCACATGACTCTGGGACACTGCAAAGGTCATAAATATGAACCAGTGGCCAAGCATCTGAATTTTGATCACATGATCGTGGGGATGCTGCAAAAGTCGTCACTATGAAAAATGGTCATAAGGCACATTTTTCAGTGTCGTTGTAATTTTGAATGGTCACTAAATGAACTGTTGTAAAGATCTCCTTGTCCAGTCTTGTCTGACTCTCGAGATCAGTGCTCATCTATGTTTCTTAGCCGAGGGAGCCAGCATTGTCTGAAGAGGCTTCCGTGGTCATGTGGCCAGCATGACTATACACCGAGGCGCATGGAATGCTCTTACCTTCCCATCAAAGTGGCACCTATTTATCTACTCGCATTTATATGCTTTCAAACTGCTAGGTGGGCGGGAGCTGGAGCAAGGAACGGGAGCTCACCCAGTCACGTGGCCCTTGGGTCTTGAACCAGTCTGTCAGCTTTGCAGCTGAGAAGCTCAGCAGCTTTAACCACTGAGCCATCACGCCCTCTCTAATTGTCAGCATTAAAACTCATTAAATAAGGCCTCTTTGAATCTTGGTCTCTTGACAAGGGTAGGGTAAGGGGCTGAAGAAATGGTGGTCCTCGGTGCAGAGATCAATGGCATTCATACAGCTAGTTCTCATCTTATGACTGCAGTTGGGACCAGAATTTCCATGGCTAAGCAAGGTCATTGTTAAGGGAGTTGCATCCAATTTAAGGCCCCCAAAGGAGCTTTTTTCGGGAGGCAACTGGACTTTCTTGTTTTTCTTTGAAGACGTTTTGCTTCTCATCCAAGAAGCTTCTTCACCTCTGGCTGGAGGTGGGGGATGGAAGGATTTATGGGTCATTTGCATTCTTTTAGAGCACGGGTGTCAAACTCGCCGCATCATGTGACATGGAGCTGGGGTGGGTGCGGCCTACACATGATGCAACCGGCCCGCGAGCTGGCAGTCTGACACACCTGTTTTAGAGAGTCGTTGAGGCCACTTGGAGGTTTATCTCCTCAGGGTCACCTGAGTGGGGCAAATGGGTGTGGAGCCTTCTTGGCTGCAGGATGTTTTCTGCCCTGTGTCCCTTTGGGACAATCATGTCCTGAATGACTGAGAATCTCCACAGAAATCCAATTTAAGTGTTAAGGGAGTTTTGCCCAATTCTATGAGCTTGTTATACCACAACTGTGAAGGGAATCACTGCAGTTTTGAAGTGTGTCACACGGGCATTAAGCAAATCCCACTTCCCCCATTAATTTTGCCTGTCAGATTCCATCTGGGAAGGTGGCAAATGGCGATCACGTGACCCTGGGAATGCAGCAACTGACATAAATATTTGCTGATGGGCCGATGCCTGAATTTTGTTCACAAGATCACGTAGACCAGGGTCTTCAAACTTGGCCCTTTTATGACTTGTGGACTTCAACTCCCAGAATTCCTCAGCCAGCCATGCTGAGGGCCATTGTTCCCCACCCGTGGCCTAAAATAACTCTCCCTCTTCAGCTTCAAAACCAGCAGAATGTTGTGTCACTATAAAGTAAAACAATGGCAGGATTCAGCCAGTTCGCATCAGTTTGGCAGAACCAGTAGCTAATTTTTTGTTGCCCAGGCCCAGAATGGACTTCCGGAAGTGGCATCCACACAGAGAACCGGTTGTTCACATATTTGAATCCCACCACTGAAGTAAAACTACAGTACTGTGTGAAACTAGGCATAGTTTTATAGCTTGGGATTGCAGCATCATAAATCCTAAAAGATTTGCATGGCTGGTCATAAAATATTTCATCCGGAAGAGAGAATGGCCCATAAAAAGTAATAAAGGCACACTTTGTCAGTAAAAGAAAACTGGGTACTCAGATTTAAGGGAATTTATTTCAGAGATTACAATGGAGAATCTCAAACTCTAATCTAGAGGCATGAAGAACAATGCAAAGACATGATGGGCAACAAACACTGAACTGCTTTTAAGATTTCTAGAGGGTGTATTCAATAAACGTTATTGTTTATTT